GAAGGTCTGGGAATGGCTTTATCAGCGCTCTCTTGGAAGGAAGTCAGGTGCCTGGCAGGAACTGGGAACAGAGGCAGAATAAAGATAGGCCAAGGAACCACAAAGGGCATTGCAGCGATATTTGTTTATTCAAAGATAGGGTGGCAGCTCACCTACCTGGCAGCGAGGAACAGCCTCGAGGTAGAACTTTTCCCCTGTGGCTACCTGCCCACTGAATAGGGGATAGTTTTGAACATTCACTTTATCAGCAAAATATAGGTCAGTGGTGGCGAACCTATGGCACGGGTGCCAGAGGCGGCACTCAGAGCCCTCTCTGTGGGCACACGTGCCATGCCCCAGAGACAGCAACTGTCCCTGTTCAACCAGCCGCCCGCTAACTTGCTGAGGTCCCACGTGGCCGGATGCATCCCAGCACAGCTGGTTTCCCTCCCCCTGTCCCATCCCTCTTGGCCTCCCATGCTCTCCTTTTCCCAGGCACCACCCACTGCATTGCCTCCTCAGGTGTTGGCCGGCCATCAGCTCAGAGGCAGCTTCTCTGAACTGCTGGCAGCGGGCTGCGGAGCCCCAGAGTGTGCCAGCTGAGGGGCTGGCAGGCTGTGGCTGCTGATGAACATTGTCGCCCCCCATGTGCTCGCTGGCCTCTGTGTGCGGGGGGCGATGGTGTCAGGCACCAGCCGCCCCGGCCCCTGCCTCACCTTGCCCTGTGACAATGGCACCCCTGCCCTGCTTCACCTCACCTCGCCCTGCAGGACAAGCCTGCTGCCCACCGCCCCACCTGCCAGAGACCCCCTGGATCTCCCCCAACCCTGCCCAGGCACCCCTCCCCACGAGCAACATCGAGGTGACCACACCCATCTTGGCCACACCCACCAAGTCTGCCATGCCCACCACAGCCACGCCCACCCAGTGGGCCATGCCCACCTGACACCCGGCAATACATAAGTGGGTTTTGGGTTGCAGTTTGGGCACTCGGTCTCTAAAAGGTTCGCCATCACTGATGTAGGTAGTTTTCAATTTACAGCCATTCCTTTAGTGACCGATTACAACGGCACTGAAAAAAAAATGACTTATGACAGGTCCTCCCACTTATGATCATTGCAGCATCCCCATTGTCATATAATTTGGGTACTGGCCAACCAGCACGTGATTACAATGGTTGCAGCCTCCGTGTGTGTGTGTGTGTGTGTGTGTGTGTGTCACGTGATCCCCAGTGGAATTTCTTCCGACAAAGTCAATTGGGAAAGCCAGATTTACTTAAGATGTGTGGGCAGGCACTACTCATTTAATAACTGCCTTGCTGAGCAATGGAGCTTCCAGGCCCAACTGGGGTCATAAGGGTAGGGTTCCCTATAAAGGATATTGGTTAGGTATAAAGGTACTTTCACTTGGAGCAGTTTCTCAAAGCTAGCTGGGGAATTCTGGGAGTTGAAGTCCACGTCTCTTCAAGTTGCCAAATTGGAGCAATGTTTGATTAAAAGCACCTTTACGGGTAGCTTTACAAAAGTATTCACTTCGCATTCCTTCCTTTCCTTATCTCTGCAGGCCTAGGTCAAACCTTTCTTGGCTGGCAGCCTTAACCCTGGATGGGCTGAGGATCTGCGGGAGATTTGATCAACAAAGACCAACTTAACCATTTGTACTGTTAACCCCGACTGCTCTTTAGAAGGCCAGATCCTGAAGTTGAAACTCAAGTCCTTTGGCCACCTAATGAGAAGGAAGGACTCACTGGAGAAGAGCCTAATGCTGGGAAAGATTGAGGGCAATAGAAGAAGGGGACGACAGAGAAGGAGGGGGCTGGATGGAGTCACTGAAGCAGGAGGCATGAGCTTAAATGGACTCCAGAAGATGGTGGAGGAACGTTGTCCATGGGGTCGCGATGGGTCGGACATGACTTCGCAATTAACAACAACAACTGTTAACATCCTGTAAATCCGTGGGACTGTTGCTTCCTTGTAGCTCCAGTTGGGGCATGTGTGAAACGAAGGAAACCTCCAGGTGTGCATCTGTGCCCGTCTGAATCAGCTCCAGAGTTACAGGTAGTCCTAAATGAACCTTACAGTTCATTTAGTTTCTGTTACCACGGCACTGAAAGAAAGGGCTTATGATCATTTTTCACACTTATGACCATTGTCAGCATCCCAATGACCACGTGATCAAAATTTGGACGCTTGGCAACTAGTTCATATTGATAAGGAACGGTTGCAGGAATTGGGGATGTCTGGTTTAATGAAGAGAAGGACTAGGGGGGACATGATAGCAGTCTTCCAATATCTCAGGGGCTGCCCCAAAGAAGAGGGAGTCAAGCTATTCTCCAAAGCATTTGAAGGCAGGACAAGAAGCAAAGGATGGAAACTAATCAAGGAGAGAAGCAGCTTAGAACTAAGGAGAAATTTCCTGACAGTTAGAACAATTAACCAGTGGAACAACCTGCCTCCAGAAGTGATGAATGCTCCAACACTGGAAGTTTTTAAGAAGAGAGTGGACAGCCATTTGTCCGAAATGGTATAGGGTTACCTGCCTGAGCAGGGGGTTGGACTGGATGACCTCCAAGGTTTCTTCCAACTTTATGATGATGTTATTATTATTATTATTATTATTACAGTTGCAGCGTCCCCAGATCATGTGATCCTCTTTTGCGCCCTTCTATTAAGCCAAGTCAATGGAGAAGCCAGATTCACTTACAGCAGTGGTTCTCAACCTGTGGGTCGGGACTCCATTTGGGGTCGAATGACCATTTCACGGGGGTTGCCAAACCACGCTGTCCGCCATTTTTTCCCCTTTTCCCTAGCTGTCCTACTCCCTCTTACTGGTGGCCACACCTACTTAGGGGTCAACACAACATGGGGAACTATTATGGGGTCACGGCATTAGAAAGGTTGAGAACTACTGACTTACAGTAACAACCGGGTTACTAACTTAATGGCCGTCATTCACTTAACAACCGTGCTAGGAAAGATGTAAAGTGGGGCAAAATTCACTTAACAAATGTCTTGCTTAGCAACAGAAATTTTGGGGCCAATTGTGGTTGTAAGTCGAGAACTACTTAGCAGCCTTGGCTGCTAAGCCTATTTATTTAGAGCTCAGCTGAGTTACAGCAAGAAAGCAGGATAACACCCACACCCATCTGAAGCACCTTTTCTGCTCCAGATCCAGCTACCTGCACATCTCTGGAATTTGTGCCTCATCCCGCTTTCCAAGTCCTCCTCCTCCTCCTCCCTCGTTGCAAAAATTAAACCACGGAAGAGTCACGCTAAATTTTCTCAGATTTTTTTTTAATAAACTGAATGGCAACTTGGTGGAAACCACAGACCATGAACGGGGAGGAACACCAGCCAGGTGCAATTTTTGCTGTGTTTTATTTGTCACCTAAGTCCAGTTGCACAATATCTATTGGGCTTATACTTATTTATTTCAGATTTATATTTATTTACATGAAGCATCTTCTGCATATTGAGAGCGGGGATAGAAGGCACGACCCTACGGCAATCCGAAAACCTCTTAAAATCTCAGAATGAAAATAGTAAGGAATGAGACCAAATGAGTTAAGTACGGCTGAAACTGATTCCTGATCATTCTTTTAATAATAATAATAATAATAATGATAAAGTTGGAAGGGACCTTGGAGGTCATCTAGTCCAACCCCCTGCTCAGGCAGGAAACCCTACACCATTTCGGACAAATAACTGTCCAGTCTCTTCTTAAAAACTTCCAGTGTTGGAGCATTCACCGCTTCTGGAGGCAGGTTGTTCCACTGGTTAATTGTTCTAACTGTCAGGAAGTTTCTCCTTAGTTCTAGGTTGCTTCTTTCCTTGATTAGTTTCCACCCGTTGCTTCTTGTCCTGCCTTCAGGGGCTTTGGAAAATAGCTTGACTCCCTCTTCTTTGGGGTAGCCCGATACATTTTGATAAATGTAACGTGTAAATGTGGAGATCCTCTACTTCAATGTTTGTCAACATTGGGAAGTTTAAAGAGAAATGGACTTCAACTCCCAGAATTCCCCAGCCAGCCATGCTAGCTAGGGAATTCTGGGAACTGAACTTCACATGTGCTGGCTGGGGAATTCTGGGAGTTGAAGTCCAGACCTCTTAAAGTTGTCAAGGTTGAGAAAGACGGCTCTATCTGATGGAGAATCGGACCTAGGTCTAGAATTCAGAGAAAACAAAACAAATATTTATAACTACGCTTTAGAAATATCCCAGACATCAGGCATTTTATTCCAGGAAATGGGAAAAGCAGAAGCAAATGTAAAAGAACAAGGACCAACTTCAGGGATTTATGCAAAGGGGGGGGGGGAGACAAGAAAGTCAAGATGGCAGCCAACCACCATTCTGGGTTTTAAATCCATCCTAAAGACCTAACAAGCCAGTTTGGAGGATTGGGGTTGTTGGGAATCCAAGCATGCTGGCTCCGGAATTCCGACAAGTTGAACTCCACACGTGCTGGCTGGGGAATTCTGGGAGTTAAAAATCCACCCATCTTCAGGTTGCTAAGCTCGAGAAACCCTGATTGAGCCACGACCCCAATCCGTTTCATTCGTTGTTGTTTTTTTGTGAATCCAACTAACCCAAAGCGATTTGGTTAGTTTGTGGCGCCAAATCAGGAAAAAAAAAGGTTTCAAGAAGTCAGGACCCGGATCCGCAGCTCGTGGGAACGCGCGACCCGGCGACGAAGAGGCTGGCAAACACCGGGAGAATCCCAGCTCGGCCGATCCGAGGTTGGAACTGCACGTCTGAACGGCTCCAGCTGGTCTGGCTCGCTCCAGCGGCGGCCCCGACCCCAGTCCCTCGCCCACCCGTGTCTAGACGGGCCCCTTCCGCCTTCCCGACGCTGCCCGTTGGCTGGGCTGCCCCGTGGCATTCCGACGTGGCCAGCATCGGAATCCCGGGCAGCTTTTGCAGCGCAGCAGCCGGAGCGAGCGCGCAAGCGAGAGGAGGGCCGCCCAGGAGGAGGCGGCGGCGGCAGCGGCGGGGACGAGGGATCCGGAACAGGCGAACGGGGCGGGCTCCTGCTTCCACCGCCGCCCGCCCGCCAGCCCGCCCCCCCTTCGGTCCAGCCCTTCCCCGAGCGGCGCTCCCTGCCACAGGAAGCCCCGCCAGCGGCCTCCGAGGGCCCTGCAGGGCGAGCCACAAGGCCGAGCAGGTCCAGGTGAGCCCATCCCGCCCGGCGCCCGGCGCTTCTCCCCTTCCACCTCGCCGACTTGGCCGCCGGGGCAAGCCAGGCCGTGGGAACGGGCGCGGGAGAGGCCGCGGGAAAAGGGGACGCGCGTCCTGCTGGCTCCGCCGTGGCGGGTGGGGAGCGGGCATTGTCTGGCCGCGGGGCATTTGCAGCGGGGAAAGAAAGGAGCGAATGCAAGCGGGTCTGGGGGCGCCGGGTTGGTTTGTTTGTTTGAATGCCCCCCCTCCCCTCCCCTCCCCTCCCCTGCCCCGCCTAGCCGGAGTCCCGTGCAGGCTCCAGCTTGCGGGCGCGCTTACTCTCGAGTAAGTCCCGGCTGGAAGGCGACACCCGGGAAAGCGTCGGCTCGGGGTCCAAACCCCGGACTCTGGGAACGAGGGTGCGGGGCTGGCCGCTCGCTCTCGGGGCTTCGGTCCGGGAAGCGTGTGTGTGTGTCTCTCTCTCTGTGTGTGTGTATTTTGCAGGGTTCCGCCCGGCTGGGGCTGGGAAGGGAAGGAAAGAGGGTCTCTGAGCGCGCGCCGAGTGCGTTTTCTTGTCTCCTCTCTGCGGAAAGCCCCACCCACTCCCGACCCCTGTTCTGGGAAATCTAGCCTTGGGGATGACGGGGTGATCTAAATTCTTCCTTTGCGGGCGGGGGCGGGGAGGAGATGGGGGGGAGGAGGATTAAGAACCTGGAGCAGATGTGTTCTGTACATGCTCTTTGTACTCTGGTCTACCAGCTTGAGCGCTGGCATCAAGATCTAGGGTTAACTTGAAAAAAGTATTTTTTTTTTTTTTAAAAAAAGTCCTAATTCCTTTCCATTCTGGGTTTGGCATTTAAGACCAAGAAAGGCAAAGACACCACTGAGTGGTTTTTTTGTTTTTTTTTTAAAAAAAGGGGGGGGGTTCCTGGTTTGTTCCCTAAAGACATAATGGCAAGGTGGGTTCTAGGATCCAAAATACAGGTAGTCCTCGACTTACATCCAAAACTGAGCCCTAAAGGCAGTTTATTAAATGCTTTGGCCCAATTGTTAAGTCAGTAATGCAGTTTGTGCCAAAGGGAAAAATAGTTATGTAGTTCCATAGTTTTCTTCTGCTCAAAGGGTTTCCAGTGCTCAGAGCTACTGGATCCAACTGGCTGTCTTGCTAATAAGCTGGAAGGGACCTTGGAGGTCTTCTAGTCCAGCCCCTTGTTCAGGCAGGAGAACCTATATATCATCTCAGTGGTAAATGTGAAAAATGTCCGTAAGTTGCTTTTCCTGTGCCATTGTAACTCAAAACGGTCACTAAATGAATGGGTGTAAAATCTACCTGCAACCAAGGACAAGATGAGAATATAAAATGCACTAATATAGGGTAGAGTCCTCTGCAGTGTGATAATTGTGTATGTGTGTGTTGAGAGGCAGTAACCAACTTTTTTGTAAAAAAAGAATCTTTTGCATTGCTTCGCATCTTTGAATGATAATCACATCTTTAAAGAAATGCAGATTTACTTTGCAGGCGTTTATGGATTGATGAGAGCAGAACATAAAGTCTTTGTGAGCACCAGCTTGAAATGTGCAATAATGCTAGATTAGCTACTCTCATTTTTCCAGATTCGGGTTAAGCTTTGGATAGAGAAGGGCCCACAACTTGCCTAGGAGCCATCAAATGCTTAGAAAGGACATTCTTTTTTTTTTTTAATCAAATAATTTTATTACCTTTTGCGAAGCATGCACGTTAAAAAAACATTAACGAGAAAGATAAAAAAGGAAAATAGGGATCAAAGTGCGAAAAGGTATAAAGAAATAGAAAGGAAAACAAAAATAGAACATATAGAACACTGTTGTTCGATTCTTAGTTTAAAACTGCAATAAAATTTCCATTTTTCCCCCTCCAAAAAAAAAGAAAAGAAAAGGGGAAATTAAAAGTTGCGGGTTTTTTGGCCACTATTTAAATTTTAACAATCAACATATGCATTTGTCGAAATTGGATTTTTCTCTATTTCCTGCAAAAAGTCCGTAGAGGGCTTCCAATTATAAATGAAATTTCTTCAGTGGTTTTTCTCTCTCCCAAGGGAGGGCCGTTAAATTAGCCATGGTTGCCAAGTCTGCCATCTTTATTAATCATTCCTCTTATTGTGAGAAGATGTTTCTGAGGAGAAATTTCCTGACAGCTGAAACAATTCATCAGTGGAACGGCTTGCCTCCAGAAGTTGTGGGTGCTCCCAACACTGGAGGCTTTTAAAAAGAGATTGGACAAGCATTTGTCTGGAATGGTTTAGGGCAGGGGCAGGAAACCTTGGCTCTTTTATGACTCGTGGACTTCAACTCCCAGAATTCCTGAACCAGCCATGCTGAGGGGAAAGGGAGAGGTTTCCAAGCTGAGCCAGGCTGGCTCAGGAATTCTGGGAGTTGAAGTCCACGAGTCATAAAAGAGCCAAGGTAGCCTACCCCTGGTTTAGGGTTTCCTGCCTAAACGGGGTTGGAGTAGATGACTCCAAGGTCCCTTCCAACTCTATTACAGGTAATCCTTGACTTACAACAGTTTGTTTCGTGACCGTTACAGCAGTACTGAAAAAAGTGGCTTATGACCGTTTTTTTCACACAACCATTGGTCACGTGATCAAAATTCAGACGCTTGGCCACTGACTCATATTTATGACGGTGGCAGTGTCCCAGGGTCTCACGATCCCCCTTTGCAGACCTTGTGACAAGCAAAGTCAATGGGGCAGCCAGATTCACTTAACAACTGTATTACCAACTTAACAACTGCCGTGATTCACTTAACTTAGCAATATACATTTTGGGCTCAAGCTGTGGTCGTAAATTGAGGACCACCTGTATTCTGTTATTCTGATGGTCTGGAGCATTAAAATTCTGTGTAGCTTCTTCAGGCCTGGGATCAGAGTCAAAACAGTCCCTCCCACATGGTTAAAGTTTATCTTTGTGCCTGGTGGTATCCCTTAGCTCATGCAGTAGCTGTTCATTTATTTATGTTTATTGCACCCCCTTTAATCCCAGAACAAGCCTTCTATCACAGTCTTTATCCAGCCCATTTCCCAGGGCAGGGTCTTGTTTCAGGACGTTTATAGGAATGTTCTAACTAAATAGATAAATTGTAGAACAAAACTAGATGCTCTGAAGCTGATAACATCAGAAATACAGGCCTTACAGCTTAGAGGCCCAAAAGACTCTCCTGTGTTGTCCAGAGGTGCTATTATTATTATTTATTATGGTTGATCGCACAGTAAGATGTTTAGATTGGATTTAGCATTTTTATCTACTTATTGAGTCCTTCCCAAGGACCTGGGATAGGCAGATGGGGATGGTGGATGGTGTTTAAAGTCTTTGTGGCAGGAGGTCAGTTGTTCCCGGCAAAGCTGCCTTTTGCAATTGACTGATGATGATTGTGTCAATGCCGACAAGTGGTGCTCCACAGTTATTTTGGGATCGCCCCCAAAGGCATCTTTTAACTAATATTGGGATTAATTTTGCTTTCCCTTGCCACAGTCTTTCTGTTTTTTTATTATTATCGCCACTTTTCTTTGCCATCCCTCTCGCGGTTCAAAGGAGCTCTGAGCTACAATAGCATTACCTGCGTTTTCCCCCAACTGTCCACCCCATTGGCAGGACAGATTCTCCCGTTTCCTCATCCCTGTGACTATCCTGGGACAAGCCTATGTGTGCCAGACATTTTTCTATCCAGGGAGGCCAAACAGGCCTCTATAGCCGGTGAGGTCAGTGACAGGGTACATGCCAAGAGACGTGTGGTTTGGGGGGAAGGGGCAGGAAAGGCCAAACTTTCTCTCTCTCTCTCTCTCTCTCTCTCTCTCTCTCTCTCTCTTCCTCCCTCCCTCCCTCCTTCTGTTTTTCAGCTTGCTGCTTGCTGCCATATCCTCTCCCCCTTAATGCCGTGAGGCCATACCATATGTTTTCTACCAGCAGACCATAACCCCCCCTTCTCCCACCCACCCCCCATTTAATCTCCATCACGATTAGCAGTGCTCTGTGTTGTGCTTCTTGGCTACAGGACAGGATGACCACATTTGCAGAAGAAAGTTTGCTTCTTTTTAACACAGCTTATTTTGGATGCTTCTGAACCTTGGCAAGGTCCATTCCCAGAATTCCCCATTTTGCATAGGACCCTAAGGCTCTCTCTCTCTCTCCAGTTGAGCCTTGTAAAGAGATCACAGTTACAAATCCCTTTTTTGTTTTTAGTTTTTTAATGTTCTAGACCTGAGTTCCCCAACCTTGGTAATGTTTAAGATGTGTGGGACTTCAACTCCCAGAATCCCTCGTTTTGCACAGGACCCAAGGCCCACCTGTTGAGTGTAGATGTAAAAATGTTGCTCCGAGTAAAAGAAAGGGAGAAAGAAGGGAGGGGAAGTTAGCACGCTCGCCTTACTTGTAATAATTAGGTGGTATGATGACTCCAACAGGAAATTACACTGGTTTCATTTCTTTGCACCTGATTTGACTTGGGTTTAGAAAAAAAAAAAAAGTTCTTTCTTGCTCTTTTCAAAAAATCCTTTGCTATAAAGGGATTGTCACCAGAGGAGCTGAAGAAACTGGAAAATGAGAGAGGTGACTTTTTAAAAAATTGAATTTACATGTTTTGATGGCCACAGGAAATAGGTGCATCCTAGTTGCTGTAACTTTTTATTGCATTGTTAAAAAAAAGCCGAAATGTTTGCCACTGTAACCTTATCTCTCTGTTATCATAACAGTTGACATTCCTTCCGTCATTTTTAAATGGAAGGCTACTTATATTCTTCAGATATTCTGTAACCGAGGTTTTAACTGCTCGGTAGTAGACCAACTTGCCTGCCTTATTTTGGGTACCCGAAGATCTGAAACAGAATCTGCTACACTAAGCCAAGTAGCTGGAGAGAAATAGACAAAGACATGTGATTTTTTTTTCTTAACATGATTGAATTTGCAGCCTTGGGGGTGGGGGAAATTAACCATGGCCCACCCTTCCCTCTGGCCTCTTGACTTATCTCTAAGTCCCAC